CCAGACTTAAATATTGGCACTAATAGAGAATATTGCCATGTTTCAGGGGAATACCCTGAATCAAGAACAAGGTTATATAATTTTGTGTAACATTTAATTGTTACTGGACTACAATATTTAATCACCTCATTTACAATGGAGTCTGGACCTGCTGATTTTTTCATTTTAAGGGATTTTATAACTTTATTTACTTCTGACACTGTTATTGGTCTATCAGTTATTTCATTATATCTATTTTCACTCTCTTTGTTTTTCAAAAACTGGTTGTTTATCTCATCTTCTGCTTTATCGCAAGGTTTGTTCCAAAGACCTTGCTTTTGAAAATGGTTTGTTAGGTTATCTGATTTCATATCAATTTCTGAGGTATTTATATTATTTCTTATAGATTTAAGTAGTTTCCAAAATTGTTGAGGGTCTTTAGTTTGAAGATTTGATAATTTTTCAATAATTTGTTGTTGATATTGGATTTTTTTCTTTTTACTTGCTTTTTTTTAAAAATATTTTGCAGTTTCAAAAAAATGCTGTTTTAGCTTTTTACCTAAATTATTGATCTTACGTTTTAAATCTCTTAATTCATTGTCTGACCATGAGTTTCTTATGCTTTATTGGAATTTTTATTATACATGTTTTAGAGGCTACATTATCTAGAATTTCTGTTAATGATTTTGAAGCTTCATTTATGCCTTTTTCATTCTTTACAAAGTGGGTGATTTCAAAATTTAAAATCTTATTTTTCACTTCGTCAGAGTTTAATGTTTCATATTTCTTACTATGTGACACATCAGTCCATCTATACGTTATGTATTTTTTTCATAAGTTTATTATCAAAGTCCTTTTTATTTAGATATTGTTTTATATCACATTTCAATTTAAAGGAAATCTGTACATGGTCTGATAAAAAATGTAGATCAGAGGTACAAGAATATTCTACTGAGGGCAGGAGATCCTTGCTCAATATTGCATAGTTAACTGTGCTACAACCATTTTTAGAAAAATATGTGTGATAACCCAATGAATCTCCTAAATATCTACCATTTAAGATCCTTAGTCTTGAGGATAAACACATGTTGAGTAAATTTTTACCTTGTTGGTTTAAAATATCAAAATTATTTCTTTTAATAGGAGAATCTAGATCATAGTCTTGGGGTAACATATCCTGTAAAAATTGGATAGTATTATTTTCATTTTCAAGTAGTTAGCTTCTTCCCCAGTTCTGGCATTAAAGTCTCCAATTAGGTCTATATCCCCATGTTGTGAATAATTGGCTATCTCAGCCTCTAGATTAAGTGAATCATCTGCAGTGTTTGTTGATGTTAATGGAGGAATGTACACAGCACAGAGATATATCTTTTCCCGTCCCAAAAAAGGTTTTATTTAGTTTTAGCCACATTCTATTTGGTGACTGAGAGCCATCCTTTAGATATTCTATTCCCGAATATAACTGTTTTTTTTTATATAAACTATAATTCCCCCGCTGTGTCTCTTAGAACTTTTATTTTTTTTTCTAGATTTTGAGATTGTTACAAATCCATTTATTTGTGTATCTGCACTTTCTCCTTTCCATGTTTCAAGAATTACATTAATATCAGATTTAATATTTTCAATGAAACTAGGGTCCATGTATTTATCACCAAGACCATGAATATTCCAAGACGCTATTGATAAATAACAACAACTGATAAAAAAATACCAGAACAACTTAAACTTTCTCGAACAACAATAGTATGAGTATTACAAAGTAAAAAGGGAAATCAACAGAATACGACGGGATTTGTAATAACGAAATAAAGTTCTGTTCAGATATTTAAAAAAAATTCTTACTTTGATATTTATATTTTATCTTTTTATGAATAAGGTGCACTGGATTTTTATACATGTAATCAATTTTAATCAAGATAGCAGTACAGTGTATTTGACCCAGTGGAGATAATTAATGGAAAGATAACACCTATACGGCAGAATTATTTAACCACTGTACTAACTTGTTAATTTAATTTGACATGTTTGAGGTTAACAGTATTCCACCAACCTGAGATATCAAAATTGAATATATATTCTGATATTTGGATGTATACGACGTTTTCGCAAAGGCTATCACACCATACGTCATGCTCTTAAAATGAAATGTTGAACGCTATACAAAATTTGAGTCATTGTCATTTAGCTGTCTGACAATTGACGATGTACAAATGAATGATCATGAATTATTTAGAATATATTGAACCGGAAGCGATAAAATCTATTTTTTTTTTATTAAAAGCCGTACATTGTAATCTGGAAAGCAATGTATCCCCTACAGCGGTTAACAGGTGTGTTTATCTTCCATTTCGTTGTGAAGATCTTTTGCAGCTGGGATAGTAAACAGCGCCGGGTCTATGGCCAAATCGTTGTTACAAACGGCGTGTAAGTCACTACATGTATCCTTATAGTAGTACGCTTTTTCATAGACTGAATAATCTGTCTCTTGTGTGGTTACATCTGTCATTTTATATTTTCTTTTTATCATTTGGCTATTCATTTTTTGTTTGTTTTCACATATGCATGACATGCGGACACAAAAATAAATAAAAAAATAATGAATAGCCAACATGGCCAAATGATAAAAAGAAAATATAAAATCACAAATGTAACCACACAAGAGAGATTATTCGGTCTAGCTTTTTCGTTGCATGGCCATCCGACCAGTATTCAGTGTTTCGGCACTGACATAATTTAAATTATGTATTATATTATTTATTTGAATTTTCAGTTGATAAATTAAACAATTATTAAATACTAAAAAAATAAGGGGCATCTCCCTCGGGCAATATAGTAGTCCTCGAAATTAGCGCAGGACCGACAGGACATGCCCTGTAAAACATATATTCAGTCCTGTTGATTTTTGTTAATTTTGTAATACATTCCTAAGAAAAATTTGAAGAATCATCAATTCGGTCCTGTAAATGCCAAACCCAACTTTCCTGGTGAATATTTTTCCAAAAACGCGCCATACGCATCGAAAGTGGTAATCTTGCCTAATTTCAAATGCTGTTGCAGTGAAATTGCTATCTAGAGCATGGAAATAAAGGTCAATGATAGGACTAGGATACACCTGGTCGCAGAAAGACATGTAAATTCATAGACCAAAAATAGTTAAACTACCATCTTTAGCTGTTGAGAAACGGACCTGGTCTAAAAACTGGACATTGTTCACCGAGGCAAAAAACAAGGCAAAGGACAACTGACATATGGCAAACAGACATGTACACCTTTCAATGTATGCACAGGCCTAATAAATTTGACCTATGACCTGAAATAATTGAGAAACTGTTCGGGTTATCAAACTGGACATTGATCAATGGAGCATAAAAACTAGGTCAAGTACAGGTGACATATAGCAGGCTGACATGTACACCTACAAATGTACATGTAACTACTAGTATGTATTTTCAGACCAAATATAGTTAACCAACCTCTTAAAGTGATTGAAAAACAGACTTTGACGCAAATCTATCAAAGTCAGTAGCTATAGACTACTTATACATGTAAAATGTAGTCAGTTTTATACGATCGAATACTTTTTCGGGCATGTTGTGTTATGGTGTTATTGTTGTCGACGTCGGGGTCGGCGTCTTTTGACAGAATGATTTCTGGACTCTAAGATTTGTTTTAGTTGTTGGATCCTTTAGAAACATTTAGCACATCAATCCTTGCAACTAAAGGAAGTCTGGGACTGAAAATGGAGGTTATGCACATAATTGTTTCTAAATAATCGGCCGAAAGGGGACAACAATTGTGTTTTTTTGGTTATTTTGCATTGAAAATTTATCTTTCAGCTGAATTTGATCTTGTTTTAATATTTATTCCTTAATTAACTACAGTCATGTTAATGCCAACATTTTACAGTTTCCGAGATAAAAGTGGAACAAATTGAAAATAGGGGCAACGCACTAAAAAGTGAATTTTAATATTAAGTTGGATTTTGATATTTTATTTTTTGCATAAAATTGCTTGTAAAATACCCTGCCTGCGTTTCCAATCAATGACTTAGCTCTTGCGGTTTCCAAGCTAAAACGGGTTAAATGGCCCATTCCCATATTGTTTGTTTAAACATGTTAAACATGGCCCCTGGATAGCTTGCTTGAGTTATGTAATTTTAGAACTTTTCCGGATTGGAATAAATAGCGATAAGGTGAATTAAAGTGATGGGGCCATAAAAAACAAAAAGACAAACAAATTACTACACAACAAAACATAAAAACTGTGAAACATGGTCATGAGCACCACCAAAAATTTGGGTGATTTCAGAGGGGGTCTCATTGGGGGGGGGGGGGGGGGGGTGGTGGTTCTGGTCCCGGATCCTGCTTACTGTTTTGTCAGATGCCTGTATCCCGCTTACACTATGTTCGTAAGCAATTCTCATTTTTTTGTAATTTCCCATGTCCTGCAAGACTTCATTTCCCGTTTTCACGGCACAATAATTTGACTTTCACATGTCACGCTTACAAAAAATCGGCAATCCTAGGTCAGATTTAGCCCATTTAATAGTTTATATATAACATTTAAAAAAAAATGTATACCCCTGGTCCTTCTATCCACAATCTGTTTTGGATAGTAGGGGTGTAGTCAGTCCAAATGATAATAACTTCTTGAAAGGCTAGTTTATTTTTTTATGTGAGGCCTCCATGGAAGTGTCACAGAAAAAAATAAAATACCCTTTCATTTCAAGATATCATAATTAATTGGTCTGGGTGGGGAGTTTGTTTTAAATTTAATGCACCTAAACAATTAATGGGCTATACATCTGACACAATAATACAATGTTAACAAAAATAAGTTGGAAGCACTTGTCGTCAGAAGTTCAGTGTCGAGTCCTTAGCAACACGCTGCAAGTTAAAACGGTAGACGAAGGCATCAGGCTCTTTTATAGTGCCTTTAAAGTGCAATAACAAAAGAATTAATTACAGTTGACAAGACACGTCAGAAATTATTTTGGATTTACTGCGATTTGTGAAATTTACCTTTTGTTGGAAAATGCTGCTATGCCACACAGTGTTCGGTCTAATTTGAAGCGTCTAAGTGACCCGGATTGAGGGTCAACAGCTGCTTAAGGACTGACTCAAAACCTACGATGTCTTTTGAGGGGCGCTATTAAAAGTATTTTGATAGAAATCATATTTTTATGTAGAAAAATACTACCTTGGTAAATACAAGGATTTGTATCCTAGGAAAATACGTAAAACTGATTCATATTAAAATAGACCCTATATTACTGCCGTAAAAAAAAGGCGAAAGATATCAGAGGGACATTCAAACTGTTAATTGTACAAGAAAATAATGAATGAATAAAGTAATAAAAAATGAATGATGATAAAAATAATAAAAGTTAATGATGATAAAAATAATAAAAAGTGAATGTTGATAAAAATCATAAAAAGTGAATGATCATGATAAAAATAATAAAAAGTGGATGTTGATAAAAATAATAAAAAGTGAATGTTGATAAAAAAAAATAAAATGTGAATGATCATGATAAAAATAATAAAAAGTGAATGATGATAGAAATAATTAAAAGTGAATGATGATAAAAATAGTAAGGAGAGTACTGTAATGATAAAAAAAATATAATGGTGATGATGATAATGATAATAATAATAATAATAATAGAAAATCTAATAATCAATCAAATAAGTAAACATGTTAAATGAATGAATAAATAAATAAATAAATAAATAAATAAATAAATAAATAAATAAATAAATAAATAAATAAATAAATAAATAAATAAATAAAAACATTTCAGTACCAGAACACTTTAAACATTATGCATCTATAACTGTAATATCCAAACTGGTACATGATCAAAGGCAAAAGTTGTAGACTGGATTACCTCACTTAAACTTGACAAAAAGCTATTTCACAGACATGTGACCTTAGTAAAATTTCCAAAAGGGAATACATATTTTGGTCCTTTTTGGTTTGATTGATAAGTTTATCACCGTTTGTATTAGGATTTAGATTTTTAAATATTTTGGCCTCGACCATTCCTAAATACATGCACATTAATTGTCGAAAGGTGCATCTGGTGCAGTAAAATTGGTACCATTAATTGTATCAGTATTTGCAAAAAAAGCATAGTGACAAAAACTATTAGCAAATAAATTCAGGCTCGGTTGTAAATTATTCTTGTGATAAATATCGACTATGATATATGATTGAAAGTAGTATAAAAAACCATTTCCGTGAACTACAATTTTGGTGTTGTTACTTTAATATTGCCTTTTAAAGCCGGGGTCACACATTCACGATTTTTACTACCGTCCTTGATAGGACCATTCCCGATTAGAATTTGTTTGACCAAGATCCTGTGAATCGTGACTGGAAACTCAAACTTTAATAAAAATTTGTAAAATCATTTACTTAATCACGACAACAATCAGATATTGTTCAGGAAGCGTCCAAATTCAGCTGTTTCCATCCCAATTTGTCCCGATTATCCCGTTCTCAATCCGATTCTAATCCGATTTGTATCTTTTTCATGTAAAAAACGACCGAATCTGTCCCGACAGCGTCCCGATTCTACCGAATGCGATCCGACAGATATCAGACAGTGAACCGACGCTGACGGAAGATAAACTGTCGCCATATTCGGGATAATCAGGTTCTGTCGGGACGCAATCCTTTCACAGTCTGCTGTACCGCATTGCAAACGGCTTTGTCTGGACTAAGTCGTATCGTGTTCTGTAATTGTCGGGACTCTGACGTGGGTATTATTGACGGAATAATTTCGGCAAAGACGGTTCGCACTCGACAAGATCTGGATGCAACCTGGACTCAATCGGAAAAAATCAGCAATGAAAAGTATCTCCAGATCATGTCCGTTCCACAGGACACCGTCCAGAAAACACAGAACATTGTTACGATTTTGATCCGATATAGCAGAATCTGTCTCGACATATTCACGGTTGTAATCCGACTAGACAACATTGGCTGAGTTTCCCAGAATGTCGTGACCGGGACGCACCTAACTATCGTGGGTTCTTGGCCGAACCCTCGGGACCATTCCCGATCCGTAGGAATCTGTTAAGAAAATATACTACTGCGGTCAGACAATGATAGGACATTCCAGATCATTAAGGATAATAATCCGACTTTTTCACTTTTCGTGTCTGAGCGCTGTCTGATCTCAAACGGGAGCCATAATCGGCACTGTGTGAACGCCACATTATCTGCACGGGTTATGCGGAGACTATTTTGAACTTAAGAAATGCTGGTCCTCATTTACTTATATACAGGGTGCTATTTACATGCATTTCATGTTTCAAATATTATATAATGTATTTTAAAACTTTGTTGATGAAAGTGTAGCAAAAGGCTTTTATCATGAGCATAAGAAGTTGGAGACATACACTGCGTTTACAAAAACAATTGAAAGTCCATTATCTGCATGATCAAAGAACACGAACATGCATTAGCGGCAATAAAAGCCGCATTATATTTGTACATAAGTACATGACACAGGATCTGAGTTTTTTTATCAGGTTGGTACGATAGATACATATACTGATACACTCAACTTTTTCTCAGCGGTTGCAAAGCACTTTTGTAAATCAATTTAGTTTTGAATCGGGATGTCACAATAGTCTGTTGATGTCATAAGACAATGTCATAAAACTATGACAATGTAATTTACACTGTTTAAGCATCACCGCACGTCAAACTTTGTACAACAGAAAAGCTGATTGGACATTAGTGACAATTTGTTACGCCCTCGTGAACGACCTTCGGTAAGCTTCATTAGAATTATTTCACACACAAGTAACTATTTTTCTTAACAAAACAAAAATATTTATACAATTTATTTTTGCATTGAACATGTAATGAATCCACGAATTCATAACATTTAAAAAATGGTTCACTACGGTTGATAAATTGTCGGAAGTATAAAAAGAAATATAAAAATTATGTCCAGTGCGCGTTTAAAAACAGGCTCTATTCGAATATTTTGAGATGTTTCAGTGATGTTCTATGTGTAAAGGATTTTAGGTCAATTTGACTTATAATCAGTTCAATTTCATGCAATCCAAAATATGTTGGGTTTCTTCTCTTTTTTTTTAACGTTATATCAGTATTCTCTGATATTTCACATTATCTTCTGAAATTTTGCTTTGAAGATGAATGATTTAACAAATTTATATACCAAACATTTAAAAGTTTACTCTGCGTTTATAAATACCATTGAAAGTACAACATCTGACAAAAGATAAATATTGTTAGAAGAAAATGGAATATAACCGTTGTTTGATTTTGTTTGTTAAACAAAAGAAACCCCCTAAATATCGTCTCATGACCAGAACAAAAAGTGTTACGACCAGAACAAAAAGTGGCGAAACTGAACTACCAAAACCTAGCGATGATATCTAATCATATTATAGTTTTGCAATGGATTTAAATGCAATGTAAAACTAGAGACATATACTATTTATATGTCTCTGGTAAAATTTTACATTTAGAAATGTCTTATCCCGAATTTCTTCTTTGTTAAAACTGTAATACATTATTTCATGGTACACCGACCCGAGAAGTAGAATAAAATATGGTAATTGTTTCATGCTATGATTCCAAGAAGAATAGACATGGTGTCTGTATTTGGATAAGTTGTTTTACTGGTAAATAGAATAATTCCTTCCAATCGAAATTATCTTCAGAAAGAAAATTAAGGGTTCTCTTGCTCGTACTTTCTTTCTGTCGTCCATAGAACACAATTTTCAAAATTAATCAAATTTGGCGTAACATAATTAATTTTGTTAACCTTTTAGTCCAAAGAAAAGAAAGAAAAAATAAAGATTCCAAGACCCTAAAACAAAACACTTTAGTGACTGTGGGTTTTTTTTTTCAGCGCAAGCTATTTTTACTTGTGGTAATTTTTCTAGTCGTTGTTTTATTTTCATCAATAGAGAATTTAATACTGAAACAGACATTTATCATGATTTTTAAGGAAACTTTGATTAAATTTTGAAAGAAAATTGTGTAATTCATTAAATAGTCTTTTAATTTGTATTGATGGTCCACTGCCTCATTTACATATATCCTACATACATTGATCATATATAGAGAAATATAATTGCATCCGAGATCGCATTATGTAATGGACTAATTTTATCACTTTTTACTGTCTCCCTTAATTATATATCGATGGGCATTCCACTCCCTTTTGAAAAATACTAAATCGAAAATAAAATACATGTACGAAGAAGTTTGTCTTACGTGAAAATACGTAGTTCAATAGGCTTTATTTACACACACAGTGAACTGCTTTTTAATAATATTTTTACGAAATCATTTGAAATTTAGTTTTTTTTTTCAAAGAAAGACCTATATTACAATATATTACAATAAGCATATTTAGAGTACTTTGACATGCCGCTGCATGATAACTCATCATTTTATGAAGGCATGTCAAACTGTCACTATTGTCAGAAGTTGGACTTTTGCTAGTATCCTATCAACTGTTCTATATCTCACATAGATTGACGTACGGTGATGGCGGCTTGAAACAATGTAATTTATATAATGACATTGTCATATAGTTTTAGGACACTGTTGTTATATAGTTTTAGGACACTGTTTGCATTTTAACCCGCCAGTGTTTCATGTTTTGCAATAAAGTTATCTGTAAATGTATCTGTATTAACATCAAAGAGTAATGTACTTTATTGTCGGAGATGTAGACTACTGATTCAAAATAAGGTTGATTTCGACATCGAGCTTTGTAACCGCGGAGAAGAAGTTGAGTGTAAGAGTAAATTAGACGAATAAGAAAAATGTGCCCGGACCATACGTGTTGTGATTTTTTTGTAAGAGGATTGAAAATTAATGTGGAGTAGTTGCAGATGATTTTCGAAAAGAGAGACCCAGAGGGCATTTTAGTGAAAAATCCGAGTCGTAATTTCCCGCCCTGAATGTTACTTTGAGTAGGAGGGCGCCAACTCCCTGTGGACAGCCCATGAACACGGCTCTGTGGGAGGGCTAAATCTAAATAAAAAACTAGTCTGAACCCGCACGTGATGATGTGCCTGTTCCATATCGCTATTTTTGGGACTTGGTGTTCATGGTCTCTGTTAAATCAATGAATTGTATATTTAAATTTACAATTCCTTGGTTAAATGTATCCATTACTTTTCTAGACTTCGGTGGTTTAGAAGTTGACCAGCGTCCATTTTCGAAGACCAAATGCTGACCACTAGATGACTTGTTCTTGTCAGTTGTTGGGTTTGCCTTCTCATTTTTGTATACCAACATCTCCTTTCATATAAAACCTAGAGACCAGTTCAAGTACCCATGCCACACACAATTTATTTTTCTTAAAAAAACTTTCAACAGTTACACACAGTTTTTTGCTTGCATGGATAGAGGAAAGTAAAACAGGGATAGCATATACCAAGTGAGCAATTAGAAACTATAAACAGAAGAAAAGAGGAAAATGACGAGCGTTTCGTCTTAAAAAAAATTGAAAACAACACGTTTAATAATTTCATGCGTCCGAAGCGATATTCTGGATTCACCTTCATCAGGAACGCTCAAAACCAAACATTTGAAATCCGAGGATGTATAGGTACCGAAACCGTTGAAGAGCTATATGACAAAAATACCTAAAACAAATAGCCAAATTCATCTAAAGTCAACTTTGCCTGAGGGAGTTGAAACCTCAGTTTCTTAATAGTTTAAAAATTTAAAAACGGACAAAAGACTCATCAGTGACGTTCCAGTACAAGAGTTAAAATACCAAATACAATACGAAGCTGTAGAGCATCGACGACCCAAAATTCCGGAAGGTTTTGCCAAACACAGCTATAAGGTAATCTATTCCTGCATGGGATAAAAATCCTTACTCGGTATTTCGAAAAAAAATCATAGTTTTGGTAAAAACCATATCAATGATAATTCATGTCAACACAGAAATGGAAAGATGACGGGGTTAAGGACCAACAAGTGACGCATATCAGTGGTCATCTACGGTCAACCAAATCATGATGGTGTCCGTAAAACTTTTAACACCATGCAGAGATGACATAAAATTACCATATGGAACCACATGCACTTGTCACTTAAAAATAACCTTTATACTTTAAATAACAGTATATAGGTAAAAAAAAAGATCAGAGACCAGTGCCTGTGTATGGAACATGCATTGTTTAATCTTGAATTCGGTTAGTATCATTAATATGAACCGTAAGTAAAAATAATAAAATATACTTCTAGGTCTTAAATAGAAAGTTACAAAACTAAATAAATGTCAATACTGAGGGGAAAATCTACAGGCATAAGCTTATCTCTAAATAGAGACAAGTGCCTGTTAGAAAATCGTTTGAGTTAAGCCTTCTTGGTCCAACTTTTAAATTAATTGTGATCGAATTATTCAATTAAAATCCTTCTTTTGAGCCCCAATTTAAAGTAATAACTTCCCCTAATACACTCTTTGATTAAAAACTTTTTTAACAATAAGACTGTTTATTTAAAGAATTCAATACGTTATAAAGATCTAGAGCCATTCTTGTTGCGACGTGACGTAACACAAACATAAGTAAATTGACGCAAAACAAAACTAGGTTTATTTCGAAATGATAATGAGACAAGTTTGTGTTCGACTGGGTCATTTAAATCTATTATTGTAATGACATGTCTGTAATCGTCCAAGAACAGGGTCATTTGTACTAAAGTTATTTAAATGAGCTGCATTAATTGTTGTGTTAAAATTCCTGGAGAGAAGTTTGGCAGTCTTGCACAGCAGACATGTAAGCAGATTTTTTTATCATGGTTTCTCTTATCATGCTTATTTCTTTTTATTTTCGGTGAAACTAAACGGAAAAAATAAATACAAAGTTAATTTGTTAACTCGTTAATACCTAAACAAACAAATGGTCGAAAGCC